GTAGCTTTTTTTGGTGCAATAATTCCTCTTTATAGTCCCCTAAATGTTTTATCACCTTCATCAACGGCTCAGCAAGCAGCACCTGGAAGTGCTGCCTCCTAAACCTGTTCTACAAATTGGATAAATTGGAATCAGATAAAAGGGAAAAACAAGTCTTTTTGGAAATAAAAGTTTGATGAGTTTTGCAGATTGTATTGTTATTGTTATTCATGTACAACATGGGGTTTCTGGGGACACGGAGGAGCTAATTACAAACAAAGCTAAACACGAGACATTGCACAAACACCTCTTTCTTATGTAGGCTACATTAATAATCTCAATGGAATCGCTGCTGTTCAAGGGGTTATTTTACTAAGGCGTTATTTATTAAACCCAGGCTGCGCTGCTGAACATTAACTTTACTTTAACAGTTTCCAAAGAGACCAGAAATGACAGGCTCATGGATTAAATGATGCACAAAAATCACTCCTAAAACAATATATTCTGGCTTTAACAATTCACTCTCCATCATGCAGCCTCGGTTCTGAGCCAACGTGGATTAGTTGTTATTTCATATAAACAGGAGGCTTCGAAGCTTCCTGATAACACATTAAACAGATATTTTAATGCTATACATTTATTTTTGGATTATTTTCATGCTCCAGATTGTCTCTCTTCAATCTCAGCGCAAGGTTTTGTGATTTATTAAGTGTCGTTTTTTTTTAATCAGCCATTTGTTTTTAACCTTGATTAGTATGCACAGTAGACTGATGATCTGCGTTGTGAACAAGCAGGGAATGTTTAAGCAAGAAGAATAATATTAAAAACCAACGCCTTCTCTTTCCCCGCAGCTAAAACCAGTGCTGCATGAGGGAGAATATTACAGAGCGAGCTGCAGTGATGAACATTTCCTCCTGTTTCATGTTTAACCCTGCTCATTTCCCACAGTAAGAACTCCGGAAACACACAAGTGTGCAGAGCAGCTTGGGGGGAAGATGACTGATGGCTTGTTGTCATGATGTTTGGGATTCTGCCAACTCCAAGCCTCTCGGCTCACTGAAGCTGTGCAGCGCTGCAGCACATACTACAGGCTATTGTTGAAAAGTCCTGGTGTTCGAAGGCATTGCTTCGTTTTCACTCTGTTGAGCCACGTGCACAGTGCAGCTATCTGTTAATGGTCCTGACTATTTGCAGATTAGTTGGATTTATGACGACGGTTCGTGCACTGTGACCGATTTCATATTGTTCGACAACAACGCAAAGGCAATTATTGGAATTTCCTGCTGCGAGTGGATTAGTTTGTTTGCTTTGTTTGGTTTTCGTGTAGCATTCCATGGGTTGCGTGTGGGCTAAGCTAACACACACACTTTTGACACAATCTTTCAGAAAATGTCAATATTTGAAAAGGAGCTGACATGCCCTATCAATCACGCCCTTCAATCGGTCAATGTGCATCACTTCGGTCTTGCTCTGACCCTGTCTCTTCATTTTGTCGTGTGTCTTTGTCCTCCTGCTTTATCACAGCTCCATCACAAGGCCTGACGAGCCTGCGCCCCATAAACGAGGCATTGTTGGCCCTCAGTTACCTGTCGGGCAGGTGCTGGCAGTTGTCTGTCAGATGGTCAGTTCTTATGAGGGTGAAGAACTGACACATGACGAGGCAGGACCATTGCAGGACCAGGAGGTGGAGGTGGGGTCTTTATCAACAGCAGCCACAGCGTCATGTCAGCAATGGCAGGACGAGGGCTCAGTCCAAGCTGAAGAGGTAATCCGAGCCTCGCTGATCCCGGGACCTTGACTGCCTATTGACACACATCAGAGCATGGAGGCAAAACATATTAGCATCAGTCAATATTCTGTCCCTCCTCCTGCAACCTGACACAGCCTCCCAGAGCTGCCATGTTTACCCTCCACCTGCTGTCAAAACAACTGAGAGCATCAGGATGAGGAATGCCTCTGTGAGCTTCAACAGGAAGGTGTAGCCTTTTATAATGGTTTTAATTCATATATATATATATATATAAAATATGCTGATTATTTTCACTGAAGGTCAAGGCAATGATGTTTTTGCTCATGTCCATTTTCAAAATACCTCATGAACCAGTAGTCTGATTTTAATGAAACTCTCTGAAAGTAATCACTGAATGTACTTTAAAAAATACTGTTTGGAGTCAACTCCATTCAAGATGTCTGCCACAGCTGAACAAATGGCTATAACTCAGACAATTTTGAAAATTGATGAAATTTGTGGCAGCTGAGGCTCACACATATTTTAAGTTCTAACTGATCACAAAATTTATATTTTTGAAATTTTGCTATTGGAGTCAGCTTTGCCTGTCTGTTAGCAAAATATGTTACAAACCATTGGATGGATTTTAATGAAACACTCAGAAAATAATCATTGAATGTAAATCTATAACTGATTGATATTGGGATTCAACCCAGTTCAAGATGGCCACTACAATAATTTCAAACTTTATTATCCCATAGAGCCTCGGGGACTCATTTACAAGAGAGACCTGCTTTTTAACAAAGTGATGACGACAATTGACAACAACTACAACAATAGGCAATCACAAAGGATGTACACAAATAAAATAATAATAATAACTTAGCCTTCCTATAAAAGCTATAATTCATCAAATTTCACAGATATTAAGCTAAAATATAATGTCTGAGCATCATCAACACTTACTCAGAGCACATGGTGCAATATTTTTCCTTACACTTTGGTATTCACTGTTGGAGTTAAACTTGTCTATAATTGTCTGTTAGCAAAATTTCCCATGACCCACTGGATGGATTTTAATGAAACTCACAGAGGGCAGTCATTGGATGAACATCAAACTTCTGGACTCAACCCAGTTCAAGATGGTGTAACAGACCCCTGATCTGATCCTGTTAAACAGAATAAATGTTCCTGTAAAACATGGTGAGACAGACTCTTGCCAAGTGGGAAAAAAAGACACAAGTCAGAAAAAAACGTATAAAGCTCAATTTTGTTGTGGTAGTAACTGAGGATCTTAAACGCGTAGTTCAAGGGCTAACAGATCGCATGAGATCTCACATGAGACTCTGGCATGAAAGCCCGCGGGCGATATGCATTCCTTTAAAAAAATGCTTGGCCTTTATTTTATTTTGCGGCTCTTATCTCATAAGATTAAAAAAAAGAAAAATTAATACGTGTTATTTTAAATGTGATTTGTATGAGTCCAACAAAATAAGCCTGCTGCGTTTTTTTACATTTAATTTGCAAGGGGGAAAAATATATAAATAAATAAAAAAACAGATTGCTTACTTCTATTTTTTTTTTCTCCTCTTCTTCCACTTTTTCCCCCCTTTTTTTTTCTTCCGCAGCCTCCTCCCGCTCCCCCCTCCCTCTGCTGAAAGCCATTACAGAAATACAATTTCTAATACCTCCGCACAGGTCTTCGATCGACTGCAAACAAATTTATATTCAGGCGGTAAACAGAAAGCTGCAGAGATTTATTTATTGAGTGCGGAGGAGAGAAACAAGGCAGCGCGTGAACCCTGGGTAACCTCCGAGCTGACATGAAGATGGATCCGTGCACCATGCAAATGCACGGAGAGATGGGATATATTGCACTCAGTCATTCAGCACATCGCTGCCTGTAGAATCCCATTACCTCCCACAGCTGGGACCATATTTCTGGGTTGTACCGATGGAGTTAGAAGTTGTTCATTACGCTGAATTATTTTCTAATTACTACAAACTTAAAAGACACAGAAAAATTATTGAGATTAAACGAACCGAACAGATTGAGGTTCAGGTTTAGGCCATAATTAAATGTTACAGGATTATTACTATTATATTATTATTATTATTATTATTATTATTATTATTATTATTATTATAGGAGGAAGAAGAATAAACTTTTAAAAAAATTAGCATTTATATTCTTCCTTTTTCTTGTAGTGCAAAGACGAAAATAAATTGATTAAAAATGCGGGAAAAAAAGCGTCCGTAAGTGCGTATTATTATGATTATTTAATAATTATACACCCATCGATAAAGGTTAAAATATTTCTGTATTTTATTGCTGTCGTTCCTGATTTCAAGTGCTTGGAGAACATCTGGTTATTTTGGATTTAAACTAAATGAGTACAGCATTTGTAAGAAAAAGGACGTTTATTAATTCAAATTATTTGCAGCTTCGTGAATGTAGGTCAGACTTCTGCTGCTCCGTGGAGCTCCTTCTTGTTTTCACTTTTGCTCTGGACGTGGAAAAAAAACAACAAAAAAAACTGAGCTGAAGACATTTATGTTAGCCTCTAAGTGAAAGTGGTTTAACTTCATTACTGATTCCTGACTGCACATAAAACTGACAAACATAAAATACATTTTAATGGACTCGGGTTCACGTGTTTAGTGGAGAACCTGTGGAGTAACACCTGAACTCTGCAGGGAGGTTGTATTTATTTTTAACCGATTTTAAAGCCAGGCTGCCACACCGGAGCTGACCTCTGAACCCATTAAGTGTGCCTTTCACATGACCCGAGCCCTCTGCTGATCGTGGCCTCGGGTTTTTCACGAAGCTGCTGCAAATTTACATAATCCATTAACCACATTAGTGCAGGCCTGTATTATGCTAATTTAGTCGTGAAAAGGATTATTTAAAGTTTTTATTGTTGCCATGTGAAAAAAAAAAATCTTTCAGGACAAACTTTGTCCAAACAAACGATGACGTCATGGCCTACCTGTCTGAACAGGTGAGAGGCCCACTTCAAGTTCCCTTGAAAAGTGTGCGCTTTTTATTTTGGCTGTTTGCTCGTCTCCGTCCTGGTTGTCCTCCCTGATGACAGAGATGTCCAGCTATTGGCCGAGACCAGGAGGGCACGTCATCTCCATCAATCAGGGGGACCGCTGCGTGTCCTCTGAGGAATGCCGTCCGGCCGCCTGACCATGCGTTGCAGGACTCACGAGAGGCCGGGCATAAAGTGCACTCCCGTCCAATGATTATGCAGGGTCGCGGTGGTGGTGGTGGGGGGGAAAGGTGAAAATGACTTCCTATCATGAGTTAACGGCCGAGGAGGAGAGCAGCCTTCTGCTCACTGACTCCTGCCGAGCAGAGGAGGTCAGAAACCTGAACCTGCTGCACGCTGTGGACACTCATCCTGAACTCTGTAGCCCTCAGGAGGAGGACATACTTAAAGTGGACGCTGCCTGTGGATTTTATTCTAAGTATGTGACTCTGTGCAGTCCTCCTCTTCCTCCTCCTCCTCCTCCTCCATCGCAGTGTGAGCCTCTCGGGGGCTTCTGCACTCCGGCCTCGTCCCGCGTCCCCTGGCGGCGCAGGGCGCGCGGCTCTCCGACACGCGGAGACTCAAACAACAACACGAAGGAGTCCCAACATTTCTGTTTGAAGCCACATGAGGAAACCCACAACTCTCTGAACAATGACTCCAAGAGTCACCTTCCTGTAAACTCGGACTGTGAGGGAGATGATGGGAGGAAGAAAACTTTCGAGTGGATGAAAGTGAAAAGGAGTCATCATCTTGCGGGTAAGTTTTCTTTCTTTTTAAAAAAAAATTTAATTACTATTTTATTTTTGGATAATTTAATAAACCCGAATAAAATTTTTTACCAAACATATATTTAAACATCCTAAATTCAACGTTAGAGTTTTAATAACATCATGACAGCCGAAGTTTGTTTGAACTTTTCCACTCGGAGAAAAGGACAAGCTGACGTGCTTTGCGCGTCACGAGGAATGTTTTATTCCAGTCATCAAAAGAAGCACTTGAATACAAAACATTTAAACACATAACTGTTTCACCATTGGCACATTTGCATATGCACATTACCAGTTACTGTATTTCCATGTCGTGTTATTCGACCTTTTTGCTCCACCTACTGTAACAGAGGGGGGGGGGGGGGGGGGGTTGTGAGAAAGGCCTGCTCAGCCTCAACGCACATCCAACCCATGAGGAGAGATCAATTATTTACCTTTGCTCTTACTAACCAGTCTTTGAATAATGCAACAGACCACTGGCTGTCCAGACTCACAGGAAGTTGAGTAAAACTTACTCTGGTAAGCCGGACTGCTCCCCAGGTATTGATTAGTTGTCTGTTTGTAATGAAACCCCTTGTGTATTGATTTCAGTTTGAAGCACCTTTACATGTGTCCACCTTTTTAACATAATTGCTGTCACAGATCATCATTTCACTGACTGATGAGTTCTGGGCAGAGCGCCTGCAGAAGAATACAAATCCCAGGCTTAAAAAAAAAAAAAAAATCAAATAGACTGCTAATGTGGAAAAATGCCTGTCAGTCCTCCATTTTATAAAAGCTAAAGAGTCTCATCCGTCTTTCTCATCATCAAAAATTGAGTGGGTTTTGCATCTTTTGTTGTTGTTGTTTTACATCACTGGTGGTCTGTGAGGGGGCTTCTGACCCCTTCATGTAGCTTCTATGGGATAAAGGCTCATGTGCAAGAGGTGCAGAAAAAACAAATCAAGTGCTCGGAGCAGATTTGATTTGTCAAATTGTTCCTTTCATAAGTTGTTTACATGCCCCAGATTCCCATAAAAAGAAAATAATAAACACAACTAATCTGAATTCACATTCATCCTTATACGTAAACCTCTATATGCCTTTATTATTGCGAATGTGACACAAACATCATTGATTTGTCAGGCAAATAAGAAAACTGAGTGTTTGCGTCCGTACATGTTAAAACGTTTGATTGATGGTTAAAACCTTGACGCTGCCAGAGTGAAAGAATGTTGCAGCCACACCTTTGTTTGCTCTAAAAGTCACTTTACCCATCAGTGGCATTAGCCGCTCATCTGATCCAAATCCATGCACTTGAAATTTGCTCCCACCCGCCCACATGAAAAGAGGCTCTTCCTCGCTGCTTTGTTGTTGTCTCTGTAACCTCTTTCTGCATCTCGGAAGGAGAATGTTCGTAGGAGTAACTCATTAGCGCCACTGTGTAACTAGTAAAAGAATCATTAGTGGAAGTGCGCTTTCCTCTCGAGGTATTGGTTTTGGCACAAAACAAAAGTCCATGCATACGTTCTTTTGTGCAGAAAGGCCTTCATAGACCTGCTGTAACCTGATCTCCCAGCTCAGTGTATATACTCCCTGTGCGTCATTCTTCAATTATGCTTTGACAGCACCTGAATTACTGTGGGCTGGATGCCCAGATGACTGAGGCAATGTGTATTGATCTATCCCTTCTCTTCTTCCCTCTCCTCAGCTTGGAAGGTCCTTCTATTCTCTCCTCTTGCTGGCTATTTTTAAGCATGCAAGTCATTCTTCAAATATTTAGTTTGATTCTTTTATGCCCTCTGGCTGGCATCAATTCTATTATCTTTGCGGCCATTAATCAGAACGTGCATGTGATTTGCTTTCCCGAAAGCTGAGGCTCTTAATTACACACAGCTTCTGTGCTTTGGTCCCTCGTATCCACTGCCTACTAAATGCCTGGGCTTAGTTACCTTCACATTAATATTTTTTAAGACACAGATGTTGACATTTATCCTATAACTGACCTTTCCATCTGCTATGCTTTCCCCTCCAAGTGGCTGGAGGCCTGTTAACCTACCTCTCAATGAATTGGAGCAATAGCTCCACACCTGGATCCATTATGCAGCAGCAGCAGCAGCGGCACATTTTCTCAGAGGCAAACGACAAGCCACAATGTCAGCAATGAAAAATCAAGATATAGCTGCAGTCCCTGTCATTCATTGCACATAAGTAGCACAGATGATACTTTAATGTGTAACCCAGAAACCTCAGAGGACAAAAATGGGAGACATTTGTCATTATGTAGTGTTTTGAGAGGATTTGTAAACTGTTAAACTGTCATTGGCATAGAAAGACCCAAAGGCAAATAATAAATGGTTCGGATGAACACAGTTAATGGACTGTTAATGCTAAAAAGTTGTTGTGAATCACCAAACATTTCCTGGACTACTGTCAGTGCAGCACTAGCTGCAACACTATAATACAACTATGAAATAAATGAGAAATTAAAAATATGTCTAAAACGTAGCGGTTTTTGATGACTTTATTTGCATTGCTTCAGAGTGTACACACGTGTTCCTGCTTTTGTGTCCAGATAACAATCAGCAATGATTGATCCATCTGTTTTACAACTCCACTGAGCTTGTGCAATGTTCCCCACAGGCTCTTGCTAAAGTTGACTTTTCTCCAAAATACATCTTTGTAACACGGACAGAAATATGGCTCAGGAGTGAAAACAAACTGGCTTTGGGCCAGCTGCTACAAGTCACGTTTAATAACTGTTGAATGTTTGGATACATGTAACAATTAAACCTTTGATTTAATAAACCTACGCCTTAATCCCCAACAGCAGAGCTTAATTATAACTCAGATATTCAGAAAACAACTTACTCAAATCCTCAAATAAGCTGTGCTCTAACTATATTTTAGTTGAAATAACTTTTTTTTTTCAGTCTACATAATTTTTGGTATTGTTTTTATTTTGATGTCATAAATGGTCCATCTATAATCTTTACCCGCTTCTTCCTTTTCGTGTCACGGGGGGTCACTGGTGCTCATGTCCAGCAGTCACTGTGTGAGAGGCGGGGGACACCCTGGACAGGTCTCCAGTCCATCAAAGGGACACAGAGACAAACGAGACAAACAACCATTCACTCTCTCACTCACACCTAGAGACAATTTAGAGTTACCAATCAGCCTAAC